GAGACTGTCCAATTTTTGGATAGACATATCCAGTTATTTAAAACATAGATTGTCGAGGTGATCAGCATTCCACTGCTCGGATTGGCCAAATCATGCTATTCGGATCGATTGAAATTGGGTATTCATCCAGAAATGTTTTTTTAAAAAAGAGAAAAGTTGCATAAATCGATAGAAAAATATGTTTGTTTAAATTATGAAAACTATATTAAACGTGGGGAATCAAGTAAACTTGAGAGGCTAGGGCCAAATCCCGATTTTACGAAAGAATTGGCCCAGTCACCCTCCTAATCCAAGTCAAATGGGTAATTTTTATGATTCAAGAACTCAAAATCTATTTTGTTTAGATAATTATCTAGCACTTCATAGGTGGATCTTGGAATTCTAAATCTCGAAGGATTAAGTGTATAGCGTGTTCCTGTGTAGTTATATTGTGGAAGTAAGGCACACCTCTAAATTTTGCATCAAGATGTAGGTTTTTATAAACTTTACGATGGTTTGAAAATCTACTTTTATCCCTGGTTATGAAATTTAAGCTTTCAAAAATGGTTCAGATCAAGCAGATCTATAAACACTTGAAAATATTGAAAATCAATGGTTCAGATAACTTGTTTCAACATGCACTATTTTTAGGACTTAAAATTCATTTTTTTCTTCGTATCCATAATCTTGAGGTTAAGGAGATTGATTGGAGGATTTTTCAACATCAAAATACTCTATTTTAGAGGATTTTGGAGGTACGGAAAAAGTTTACATAAGTGCGAGGCTCTAAACAATCAAATTAAGGTGCACCTCAAAAATTTCACTCTAAGAGGTTGTTTTGATGCCCAAATATCCTCAAATTGATCATCTTGACATCAAGATGCATGGACATGAGAAAATAAAAGACTTCAAGTTTTAGAAATAGTGCATCTTGTAACATATTTTTTAACCGTCAATTTTCAAGATTTTCAAGTTTTTATACATCTGCTCGATCGACCCTACGTTTGAAATTTTATATTTAAAGATGAAAATATATTTTAAGACTATCACAAAGATTTCTAATATTGAAACGACATTTCTCAATACTATTT